TAAAATATTTATATTTATATACATTTACTATTTTTATATATATATATTATTTCTATATTTATATTATTTTTTACATATTCATATTTAAATTTATTTTTATTAGTATAAATTATAAGTTTGTCTTATATATACCATATATTATCATATAAAATTTTTATTTTTTTGTATTCATAAAATTAAAAATATTATAATTTATTAAACTAATCTATTTTTAAATATTTAAAGAAAGATTTTATTTTTAATTTACAGAATTCTATTCAATAATTTTTTTATTTGGCATTCATTATAGATTATTTTAATACCTTTAATATATAATATATTATTTCATAAAATGTATTTTAATTAGTTAATTTTGTGATTATTGTATTCTTTTTTTTATAACTTTTTATTTATACCACAATAATATTTTAAATAATAAATAAAATAAATAATTAATAATCTGTAATATAAATTTATTTGCATTATCATCTAAGAAAAGTACTATTTTTTTTTTCTTATTCTTCTTTAAAACTTTATTTTGTTATGTTTTTAATTAAATATATAAATTCTTTAATTTATATATTTTATTTTATTTCCTAATTGAATTAAAAAAAGTAGGAAAAATTAAAATTTATATTCTTTAAATAAAAAAATTAAAATAATAAGTAAAATAAAAAAATGAAAAATTAAATTTATTTATTTTTTGAAATTTTTTTTTCGAAAATTTATATTTATATAAAAATTATAAAAAAAAGTCATTAAATTTAAAAATTTTAAAAATAACTTTCTTAATAAAATATTTAAATATTTTTTAATAAAAAAAGATATAACGCAAAAAAAATATATTATTTTTGCAATAATAAAAAAAATCTTAATTTTATATTTATTTAATTAAAAAAAATAAAATTAAAAAAAAGAGAGAATATAAAAATAAGATAAAAATATATAAATAAATATTATATTTTATAATTAGGTATTATTTTATATAATTTATAAAAAAAAAAAAAATTGTTTTAATAAAAAATGATGAAGAAATTAAGTGATTCAAAATATTAAATATTATTAAAATATTAAATTAGATATATAATTATAATTAAATATATATATATATATATATATATA